GAAGAAGAAGAAGAAGAAGAAGAAGAAGAAGAAGAAGAAGAAGAAGAAGAAGAAGAAGAAGAAGAAGAAGAAGAAGAAGAAGAAGAAGAAAAGGAGAAAGGCAGGCAGCAGGGGCCAAAGGGAAACGGCTTTATACATTGCCCAGGGATCAACCAGCCAACAAATGGCACCTGGGAAGACAAGGACTCTAACCTAAGGAAGAAAAGGCAAAGGCTGGGGGCTGTGGCAAGAATCGAGAAGAGGGTACTGGACACAAAGGGGATAAGCAAGAAGGCTCCATGTAGACTCAGCCCAGAGCAGAGAACCCAAAGGGTGTGCGAGACACTGGGCTGGGTGTCCTCCTGTGCAGCCGAGGGTCAAGGACCCTTCAGGAAGCCCCAGCACTGCGGTCCAAGCTTCTTTAGAGACCAGATGAGGATGGACTTAGTCCTATAAGACATAAACGCTCTTTGCACAGTTTTTTCCACCCAGATCCTGCTCAGAATCCTTCAACAGTTCTATGTGGCTTAAACTCCTCAGACTCCAGTAAGTGATAGCCTCTCCTGCCCCTTCCTTCACCAAACTCACTTCCTCGCTGTCCCCTGTAGAACCTCTTGGTTCTCTGGAACTACCTTGTTAGATATTAAAACTCTGAGATTATATCAAAAAGTCTGGCTGACAATTTCATTTTTTTAATTTATGTATTTGGTACAGGGTCTCACTGCACAGTTGCACCTTGGACTTATAGTGATTCTCTTGTCTCAGCCTCTGGAGGCAGGGCTGGCATGGCATGTGGTGCCAGCAATCAAACCCTGGTCCCTGTGCTTACCTAAGCAAGAGCTTAGTCTGCTGAGCTATCTCACCAGCAGCAACTTTTTTTCTTTTCTTTTTTAATGTTTTTTAATGTATTTAGTATGAGGTCCACAGGGTCTCACTACACAGATTGGACTCACAATGATTCTCCTATTTTCAGCCTTCCAAGTGCTGGGATTACAGGTACACACCACCACACCCAATCTCAATTGCTGGCTCAGTGCATCCCAGAGGCAGGGCTGGCACGGCCCACTGGGGATTGAACCCTGGTCCCTGGGCTCTGCCTAAGCAGGTACTTTAGTCTACTAAGTTACCTGGCCAGCCCTTAGCAATTTCATTTTTTAAACTCATTTTCTCTGTGCTAGGCACAAGAAAATAAGAGCAAAATGCATATGATGGCTTTTAAAAAGTGAGATTATAGATCTCAAAGAAATTCAGTTGTCTGCCATCAGGAGCCTGCGGTCGAGAGGTCCTATAACACTTCATCCCAACACCCTGCCTCAGCTCCATCTTTGCTCGGGCGGAGAGCCCCTCCCCTTCTCCCGCCTTTGCGCAGCTCTTCTGTCTGACCATCTCAGTCGCTGCCCTGCAGGAAGCTTCCTCCACCCACCAAGCCTCTGGACACCAGCTCTCTCCACTCCTCCACCTTTCACTGTCCTTACCACCTGGGTGATTCTCTGTACAAGTTGCCTTATACTTTTATTCTCCAGTTTACATGTGAGTCTGAGGCCAGCGACTGTGTCCATCTGGCTACTAACACCTTCCTACATGGTTATACCAAAGTAGGAAACATAAACACCAAAGAATAGACTTATTTGGCTTAAAAACCATACCTATAGATTTTAAATATTAGTATTAAAGCAATAACTGCATCTCCTCTTTGAAATGAAATATGTACTGGTACAATTCCAGTATGCCCATTGAACTGAATAATTTTGTTCTTTTCCCTCAGAAATGAACACATCACCAACCAGCTAAAATCCAACGAGCAGCTAATCAAGGCTGAGGATTCCCTGCTTTGAGCTGAATTGCTCATTTCCGGGTTGTCACCATTGTTCTAAGTTAATGAGACCTATCCTTCTTACTGTTTGAATCAGCACTTTCATTTTTCTGTATTTATCACAAAGTACCACAAAATTCTTAAATAATAACAAACACAGGCACTGTTGTGCAGACAAAGACAAGGCACAGCGATAAAGCCTACTGAAAGGATGAGGGTACCAGGAAGTCACAAGGAGGGCTAATTTTGTCAGCTAATTCCAGCAGCCTGAAATGTGGAAGTATAAGAGGAGAGGCCTTACCAGAGGTGGGGTCCGAGAGTTTCAGACGCAAGAAGGTCAAGGATTGCCTTAACATCTTTGTTCACCCCCAGCCTCCTGCAGGGGGCAGGGCCCCAACTGTCAAGGACAATTCATCTCCACAGAACAATATTCCACCCCCACCCGGCTCCACAGCACCTGGCACAACAATCCTTAGACAACAGGAAGCACAAGACCATAACCATAAGGAAACACTCTTACCTGCTGTGCCTCTGTATTTCCCAACTGTCAGCTTATACCGCTCCTTGGGGGAGGCCACTTGGAAGAAATCATACACGGCGTAGGCAGACTCATTAGAAGTCTGCAAATCTGCTCTAACTTCATACCGGGTAGGAGTGCTGGTAGTGAGATTGTGTAGTTTGTCAAGTCCTAAAAATACAGAATGGAATTCCAGTGAGCAGTTATACTTTTTACCTAGATGCCCCCAGCCTCATGAATTCATAAGTGGGGCTTTTGGGAGGTGATTGGATCGTGGGTGTGCGCCATCCATCAGTGGGTCACTAGTTCACAGCTAACAGTGATGAGGGAGTGGAGCCTGAGAGGTGGGTCAAGGGGAAGGGACCAAAAGGGTCCAGCTCCCTCCTTTCCTGGCATGCTGCTTCCTGCTGACATGCCATAGACTGTTCTGTTCACCTTTGCCAGGTCCCTCTGCCCTACCACCTTGCCTTGAACCCAGTCAACTATGGACTGGAATATCTACAAACTATGAGCCATAACAAACAATAAGTCTTTAATTTATTGGTGTCAAGTACTGCGTCCTAGTGATAGGTAAAGTGACTAAGACACCAACCAACTCCGTGTGTGCACACTCCCTGTCTGCATCTGAGACTTTCAAAGCCAAAAGTCACCCTAGCTTCTAGGCTTCCTCCCAACAAAGGGCCTTGCCAATACCTTCTCTTTGGGAGGAAGGGACCAGTTTCCTCACGCTGTTATTTATTTATTTATTTATTTATTTATTTATTTAATGGCACTGTCATACTAAGGACTTGTATGGGTGGGCATAGCTGGGGGATAGAAAAAAAATCACGTGATGCATCTGCCCATCAGGTCCATCTCTCTAAAACAAAAGCAGTTCTTATTGTCCACATGCCTCATAAGCAGACAACAGATCAATACTCATTCTCAGGTCCCTGAAGAGATTTTGTAGCAAGCAAACCACAAACATCTTCTACTCCATTAGGCACACAGTATTCAGATTATGATTTTTTTTTAAATTTTGCCTTTCCCAATTGACACTTTGGGCTGTTTCATTCTCCATGAACATCTGCTCCCGAGGACAGAAGAGGGAAAAATAATAATGCGTATAATGCGTGGCATTACCATCAGAATTTCAGGGAAAACTAGAATAGCCTTCCAGAAAGAGCCCAGAATCCCAATCAGACAACCGCTTTTCAGCTATTTGTAAGAACTGAAGGCTCCAGGCAGATTGTGCAGAGCTTACACACAGCGTAAAAGCCGTCGGGGACAGGCCTCCCTCTTAACAAGGCTGGAGTGCACGGGAACCTTCCCACTGGTGTGGGATCACCCACGCAGTGTGGCCCTGTCACTTGGGCCTCTCACTGAGCTGCTGGACCAGCCTGTCAAGAGGAAGGTTATCCATAGCCCCACCCTTCTGATTCTCAGACAGCATACCAAGCCAGAACTCCTGCATAGGGTCCCCAAAGCCTTCCACATAGCTCCGCCAACGCTTGAAGAAATCCAACTGCCCAGTGTTCCGCCTCTGGAAGACCTGAAAAAGGACACGGGTGGTTCACCATGACAGACTGAACAGAGAAAACTGATTGAAAGACAGGTGATACTTGTATTTTGGAAGGTGGCATCAAGAGTCAAGAAGGCACTATGTAGCTTACCATAAAGGGATTTCCTCTGGCAGCATCGCATCTTTATTTTTCAGAAAGGATTTTTATGTCTATATGTGCAGATTCACTATATTGTCTATGATAGTAATAAGAATTCCTTAGGTACAAAGAATCATGCTAGGTACTAAAGTGTGTCACTTCTGAGATTTCTGCCCTCAAGAAGTTTCAACTGAGAGCCCAGAAAAACTGGGGGAAGGGGTGATACAGTTGCCAGGGGTAGATTGTGTAGGACAATACTTTCTGGATTTTGCTAGCTTTGACCCATAACCTTTAACATCTATTCAACTCAAATGGGGCACATCACATGCTGTCTTCCCTTGTCCACTCTGTAGTTCAAAAGTGGGAATCATCTTCTAGTTCACTTAATTTCTAATGCAGCAAGTTTATAAAATTTATGGAGAATAAAGTTCATCCAACAAATATTTATTGAGCATCTGTTATATAGCAGGCACTTGCAAGATGTACAAAATTAAAAAAAAATCCAGTTCCTCGCCTCAGAGATAACTGTCCAGTAAATGACACAAACATGACTTACCAAACTTGCAGTGACAACGACTTCTATGCAATAGAGCTGGGAGAGAGAGTTAGGTAGGAGAACCTGGTCAAGGAGCCAGGAAAGCTCCCCGCCGAGAAAGTAACTGTAAGAGCATCGGACATGTGCAGATCTGCCTAACTGCAGTGCAGAGAAGGGACTCGCTGGGCAAGAGCAGAAGGCGGGTGGTCAGTGAGGAAGTCACTGCAGTGGGCTGGTGAAAGAGTCTCCTCATGAGTTCATCATGCCCTATGTCTCACCTGGGCGAGAAGCTGCCCTGAGGGCAGAAGTTCAGACTGACAGACGTGTAATAGACAGAATGTGACACTGAAGGACGAGGAAGTCGAGAGCGATTTGGGCTCCGAAGACTGGAAAATGATCACAAAGCTGCTCCACCAGAGGGGAGATTCTGAGAGAGAATGAGTTTTGTGAGTGTACCATGAGCTCCTCAGGAAATGTAGTATGAGACACTTCTGAGGTGCGGGGCTGTCACGTAAGCAGTTGAATGTAAGAGCTAGAATCCTAAAGAGAGTCCTAAGCTACACTTTAATGATGGCCTGTGTCTGAGAAAACACTAGTAGTTTACCAAGCCCCATTTCACTCTTTTTCCCCAGGAAGACTTCCTTGTCAATTCTCCTGCAGATATGATAGAGCCATATAATTTATTTATTTTTTATTTATTTATTTATTTATTTATCTTTTTGAGACAGGGTCCTGCTATCCTAGTCAGGCTGGCCTTGAGCTCACTTTGTAGCCCAGGCTGGCCTTGAACTCACAATGATCCTCCTGCCCCAGCCTCCTGAGTGCTGGGATTGTAGATGTGCACCACCACACCCAGCCTTGAGCCATGTAATTTATAACCAAAAGGCTATAAATGGAAGCACAGGAGAGTGGGTGGGATTGTCCATGTGCCCTTCTACTGCCCTATGTCTAGTGGGGCTGGGGAGATGGCTCAGGAGAATACGCGCTTGCCTGCCCTATGTCATGGTACCATGTTGAAGGCCATCTGTTGAAATGACGGAACCACAAGATGGAGGCAGCCTGAAACCCTGAGTCACCACTTAGAAGTGGCTGCCAACCCTCTAGGGGACACAGGAGCACACAGGAGCAAAAAAGCTTAGTGTCAGACCACTGAAGTTTGGGGTTGGTTTGTTACTGCAACATAACCCATTCCACCCTAATGACTGGAGAGCCAGGGGACACGAGGGAGAGTGAAGTCATGGGAACCGATCCTCATCAGTTCCTCATGTGTGAAGAAAATAGGAATGGTGGGGAGAAAATGGCCTAGGATCAAGCCTCAAGGACTTCTAATGTGTAACAGCCACATAGGAAAAAATTATTTCAATAAAGAGAGAAGAGAAGCAACTGGAAGTATAAAAAGAAAACTCAGAAAATGTGGAATCAGAAAGCCACAGACAGACGGTGGGTAGTAGTGCCAAATATTCATGACACAGGAAGGATTAAGAGATCAAAACTGTCCCTAGAACTTAGTGACATGGGATCTCCAGTGATTTTAGCAAGGGCTGTGTAGGCAAGAGACAGGGGCAGAAGAGTGGGTGTGAAATGAGATGGATTTGTGTACAGTGCAAAAATGGCTACTTTCTTCACAAAAATTCCTCTATATGGAGGGGAGTCATTCCCATCACGTAATTTGGGTTCTTTTATATGAAGTAACCCTAAAAAGTATCTAAAACCTAAATACAACCCTGTGCCCTACTGGACTTGATCAGACATAATTTTCCTTGACCTTGAGAGCCAAACTAAAAGCCATCCTAGCTAACCTCAGAATGATTACCACTAACCAAAAGCCAAAATTGCCTCTTTGTACCAATTTTCCCCCCATCTTCACTCAAATGCAGAAGCCCCGACCTAAAATCTAAGTTTTGTACTTTGCACCAGGCTTCACAGCATGCACCTGTAAAACACATTATCTTGTGTCTGCTAAGGTCAACCTTCTAATATTTGTGCATTCTTTATGTTCCTCTGTGGGAAGAGTCAGAGGAGCAGAGGACAGGTTTCCCATAATAGTCCTGACACTCACTCCACAACGGTGTTCTCCTGTAACTCCCCCTGAAGTCCCACTGAGGGCTCCCTGGCCCAGAAGGGGCTGAACTAAGGCTCTGATGGGTAGGGACAGGTTCCAGGCTCCAAGTCAGCTATCGCCTGTCCCTGCCAGACGGGTACTGAGGCAGGCATTTCTGCTCCTGACCCTCTGCCAACTCATTGCAAAACAAGGATAGAAGTGAGAAAGAAGGGCCTACCACATAGAGATGCTGGAAAGGCTAAATGAGAAGGCACATGTCCTGTGAAAATGTCCTACACATGAGAATGAGCTAAGAAACAGAATTTAGGAATGACCACAGCAAACAATTACATGATGCATTGACATCAAATTTCCCATGGATCTGGGATCCTCCATTCTTCTTCAGTGCTTACTCATTTACGTAACAATCATTTACGGAGCCCCTGTTGCCGCTTCACCCTCGTAGGTGTATATGACACCGCTTTGTAGTTGAGAATGTCCAAAAAAGCAAAGAGCTGGAGTCATACAGCTAGTTACTTAGTGAGGAAAAGCAGACAACCCACATCCCCTCATCTTTTGGTCAGACACTCTAAAAATACCAACTCTGCCAAGACATTTCCCAAACTCCATTCTTCAGACCTAGAAGATCTGTTGTTTCCCAGCAGGATACCTGTTGTATTTCAGACGATGGAATCCTAGCGTGGACTCGGAACCCATGTTCCCCTCCACATCCATTGTGTGAATCACATTCCTACTACAAGGTCAGGTTCGAATCCAGTCCTGCCTTTCTAAGGACAGATACATTACAGAGGCATTTGTTCTCTCTCTAGTCAAAGAACACAAGACCCAAGCTTGATAAGAGCTTTCCAGCTGATTTTTTAAAGCAAAGCTCTGGCTTGGTCTGGCAAGAAGATTCTGGTGCTCCTTTCTCCTTGTTTAGACCAGATCCACACTCATTAGCTATGTCCCTGGGCAAGATAATCAACCTTGGGAAATTTTACTTTTTAAAATTATCAGATCAAAGGGCTGGCAAGATAGGTCAGTGGACTAAGCACCTGCTTAGGCAAGCGCAGGGACCAGGATTCGATCCCTGACCCCATAGGCTGCGCCGGCCCTGCCCCCCTGGTATGCTGAACCCGCCACCGAGATGGGTGTGGTAGCACATGCCTGTAATCCCAGCAATGGGGAGGCTGAAAACAGGAGGATCACTAGGAGCTGAGGTGCATAGTGAGAGCCTGTACTAAATTAATCAATAAAAAAGGATAAAAGAAAAATTATTAGATCAAGATGAGAGCTGCTCCTCTGTCATGGGCTGAAACTGAGGCTTGAGCAAGGTCATTAATCATAATAAATCCTGAAATACTTAGTGCACAGTCCAGCACATACAGGTAAGTTATTATTATATCACAACAAATGTCAGTTTGCTTTTGATTACATCAAATTCAAATGAGCTGCTGGGCCCAGAGGGACCTGGGCAAGATAATCAACCTTGGGAACATTTCTAATCAACATTTCTACATCACGAACAGGCAGCTTTCACTAAGAAACTAGTTCGCTCTCATTCAGAGAGAAAACACTATGATGAACTATTCGGGATTAACAAGCTCTCCTTAGCAAATAAGCCTCAAAAGGGGAAAGAATTCCTTATATCTGATTCTACACTCCAGAGTTGTCATTACATTCAAGAAATTAATGTCCTGAATGAATTAATCAAGAAGAAAAAAAATCAAAATTGCATTTAAAGATCCATGGAAAGGGCTGGCCAGACAGCTCAGTGGATTAAAGTGCCTGCTTAGGCAGACACATGCAGGGGACAGAGTGTGCTGCACTGGCCCCGCCCCTGGGGTGCACTGAGGTGGAGATTGAGACTGGGCATGGTGGTGTGTGCCTGTAACCCCAGGGTTTGGGAGGCTGAAAATGGGAGAATCACAAGAGTCCGACCCGTGTAGTGAGACTCTGCACACCCTGTACTAAATACATTAAAAAACAAAACAAAACAAAAAAAAAAAAGACCCATGGAAAGAGCCGCTAAGTACAGCCTTTAAGACTTCCAAGATGGGAAACAAAGCTGGAATTCTCTGAGACATTTAAGTGTTCCCTGATGTTCTTTCCAGCTTCCCACCAGCAGCCTCTGTTACCTCGGGGCAGAGATCCTCTCCCTGTTCACCAACTGGGTTTCCTGACTGGTGTGGAAAAGAATTTCCTTAAATAGATTTTAAAAGTTCAAAAGCAGCGGAGTACTGTAGGCTGTCATTCAGTGACAGAAAATCCCCCCAAACATGGAAACTCTCAGTAAAATATGTGGTGGTGAAGTCTTCAGACTCCACATGACTTGTGGAGCTTGGAGAAGAACCTGTACAGTCTCGTGGATTATTTCCAGGAATCTGTGCCAGAAAATAAGACTTGGGGTGGGGTGTGGTGGGGGACTGGTGTTGGTTACATTGCAGAGTGGTTCCTTATTTCTGGAACTGACCCACTGTTGAGCCAAGGTCATTTTCTTGGGCAGCATACAAAGGGCAAGCTCCTTGAGTGCAGAGATTTTAGTCTGACCCTTTCACTGCTGAATTTTAAGTGTAGTAGGAGCTTCATAAATATTTGTGCAATAATTCATGGGCTTCCCAGGCAGACAGACTAACAGATCTCTTTGTTAAAGGCTATCTTAGGCAAACATCTCTTTCCCTATGTGAGCTTGGCTTTCAAAAAGGCCGTACTAGACAGTACAAACGTCGTGCCAGTGGTTAATTATAGACACAATGGCAGGAAATTGGGCTTGAGGCCTGAAGGGCCCAAATGCTTAGGGTTACAGTGGTGTGGATGAAAAGCTGCAGGTACAAGCCTATGGGCCTGGTCAGCCGGCAGACCTCCCATGTTACATTCTGTTCAGTTATTTTACAAATCGGTCAGGAATTTCTCCATCCAATCCAGTTACTGTCTTCCAGCCGTCAGATGCCACCATGCAGATGATAACTTTCCTTCACTGCTGCTCATCAGTTGGCATCATTTTACCCATGACCGCCCAAGTGTCTGCTTTCCCAGACCCCGGAGCAAATGTGTAAATGAATGTAGTTTGAGCACCAGGTGGTGATGCTTTCTCTTGCCCACAACGAGCTGCAGAAGCACAGCAGGGGAAGGCTGTACACTGGTTAGGGATATCAAGAGCCTGGGCACAGAGAGAAGAGGAGTGTGGGAGATGGAAGGGTCAGATTGCAGACTTCAAAGGCAGCTTATCATGTAACTGGATCAGCATGCGACCAAAGAAGAAGCCATGTGATTTGAGCAGACAATGACCCAAGAGAACAAAACCTCTACACAGAACAGGAACCATTAGGACAGCACCCAAGCTTCCCTTTTTCAAATCTTAGACTTTCAAATGAAAGCCCATAAGGTCTTGGCACAAAACCTAGACAACAGGCTCCGATTCAGAGGGCCAAGCCCCTAAAGCGCCTGTCATGTTTTGTCCTGGATGATATGTGGGGAAGACCAATGAGTTAGGAAGCTGACGGCCTACAATGCAGCTTTGTCATTAATGTGTATGACTTACAAGATGCTTTTCTCTGTGGGCCTCACTTTCTGTCTCTATCAAATAAGAGTAAGAATCTTTTCTCACTTACTCTAAAACTATCATCTGAGGGTCATGTTTTTCACAGAGCTTGGAAGTAGGTACAGTTTAGGTAATACCTGTATAGAGGGCATTACTAGATGACGATAAACCCACAAGACTATGACTTCATCCCTCTTTAGCCAAGCCTGGTTTATAACAGGTACTAGTACTAGGCTCTAACCTTACACTCTCTCAAAATAGCTGCAAGTAACTGAAGTTCCTCTCTTCTGTGGCTAAAGAAATAGACAGCTCCTGCCCCCACAAATGCTCCAGGAACAGCTGTCTGGGCAGAGAAACAAGGTGCTTCCCAGAGTTCCCCAGGGCTCTGCAAGACTCACAATCCAGCCACCTCCATCTGTGTCCATGTCACAGTACACCTGCAGGGGCCGGTTGACGTCACCATTCAGGTAGATGGTGTAGAGGCCACTGGCAGCGTTGCTGTTCTGCTGGACCTGACTGCAGTCCGAAGGGTGTGGAAAGCGGGCATCGACTGGGGGCCAAGCCAAGGGGAAGTGTTGTTAGGAGAAAGGCAGGGAGAAAAGAATTCTTTTTTTTTTTTTTTTAAGTCCGCTACTTTTTAAGGCAACTTATTTCATTTGGAAACTACTTCATAACCCCCATTATCTTTCTCTTGCTAAATCTTGACTCACATCTTTTTTTCACTCTGCTCTCACCAAACTCTGAAAATGCACCAGAGCCAATATCAAATTTTTCATATCACTTCTTTCCCGAAACTAGTTCCCCCATAAAGGAACATTCTAGTCACTCCCTCTGTAGCCTCTTGCTGTGTGTGCATTTCTTTTGAACCCAATGCTCATTTTTGTTCTCCAGAGGAGAAATTCTTAGTTGCCTATGCACTCGCCCCTCGCCGCCCTGCCCTGCTCCGCTGCTCTTGCACTATTATCCCAAAGGCAGACTCCACATTACCTGTGGAAAGGGAGGTGGACACACTCCTGCTCCGCTGATCACCCTTAAAAGCAACCAAGGAAGCAGGGTAGGTGATGCCCTGCTCAAGATCTTGCAACTCAAACCTCTGCTCGCCTTTTCCAAGTTTCACCTCCTACCAAACGAAAGAGATAGTAAACAGAGAGACAGAGACTGGTATATGAGCCCCCAGCACCCTAGCTGTCAACAGCATGCCCTGGGGCTACTGATAGTTGTCCTCCCAGGGCCTGGTAGCAGCTCAGAAGCCCCATGGGCCACGATCACTTTTCGGGATGACTGTGTCATGGAGATTCAATTCTACTAGCTGAGCCATCTATCTACCACATACTGCCTCTTAGGGAGCTAGTCTTTCCAGGGACATCTGCCCTCAGACGTGCACCATGCACTGACTATAGCCACTACTAGCAACGAGGACACAATGCTGATCTAAAGAAGTGCTAAGAGGGCATGAAACTTGGTCACTGATATCTGTGACACACAGGGATATGTGATTCTGAGAAGAACATCCTTCTAAATCTGTCTTACTTCCTCTATAAGCACAGGGGTAACTTTATTAGCAGACTGTCAGAGCATTAATTGCAATCACAAATAAAGAGCCCTTCCTGTTTTCTTCTTTCTTTCATTCCAAGGAGGAAGAATGACAATTTTCTACCTGGGCAGGTTTTACACATTTGCTGGCCTTCGGATTCAAGGGAGTGGTATGCTTTTGAAACAAGCACCTACCATGTGCTAAGGACAATCCTAAGTAGTTTAGATACAACAATAAAAAAAGACAAAAATTGCCTGCTCAAGGAGCTTGCATTTATTAGGGAAGACCAATAATAACAATAATAACTTTTAAAAGGGCAGATATGTGGACAGCAAATCTATAGTGGTCAGTAGGAGCAGGCACAAAGGTCAACCCTTAATTAGACCACAGTGTTCACAAATGACTCTGCTTGCACACAGCAGGTGATCAATAAAGACCGACTGATTGGCCAGCAGATTGCCATCTGGTCCACAATCAAGCTGACATGCCCAAGTCTGGGGCCTCACAGAGAGGCTGCAAGAGAAGGCACCAAGAGAAAAGAAGAAAGTTCCAATACCTTCATGATACCGTTGGGAAGCTGGTAGGTGAGGATGTAGCCATCAATCTGTGCAGAAGGGGGCATCCAGGTCAGGGCCCCCCCAGAATGTGTCACACCAAATGGACGGAAGTTTTTGGGAGGATCAATTTCTAGAAATAAAAATGTCAGATGATAAGTATTACTAAAAATACCACCAGACAAGGTAAATCTCGAGATACTACTTTGTACTTTCTTCCTGCCCCTCTTCCCACCTCTTATTCCCACCCTCTTCCTCCAAGCAGGTAGTGAGTCTGCTTTTTCTTTCTATGGAGCTGTCCTGACCTTTATTTCCAAAACTAAGACCCACTGAAGATAAGAAGATTAAGGAACAGGACACAGGGCAGACTGTAGAGAGTGAACGTGGGCCCATTTTCCAGAAGATGCTCAGGGAGATGTGAGCTCCGTGAAGTCTAGGTAGCAGAAGAGCTCTCCAAGGAGGCAGGGTTTCCACAGTAACATAGAAAGATACAAGAACCACAGACCTAGAAGGGCCCAGCGCACAGAGACCAGGGCTGGCTCAGCAAGCACCTGCCTGGAGAAATGACAAAACACCGCCAATGCCTGGCACTGGGAAACTCTTGAGAACTTACACAGCCCGAGGAAGGGCACAACTCATAGTGACCTCAGATTTCTGGTCATCAAACAGAATGAGGCTTATGATGGAAGAGAAGCACAGAAATATGAAGTTGTACGTATGGTTTTAGAGGCACTCCCAGCATAGACAAAAAAGCAGACAGAAGAGCGTTTAAAACAAAGAATGAAGGTGAGTAGAAAAAGCAGAGAGCTTTGCCTCCATGTATTTCTCCACCCAAATGCCAAACGTACATGATAGACCAGGAAAGCTAAAGCTCAGCACAAACAGTAGCCATCACTATAACAACTGGCCAGACAGCTCATTTTTTAACTAAGATATGAATGGAAATTTCCATTTTGAAGAAACATCTTAGAAGGCAGTTTTAATTTAGAAGCTCCTAAAAAGATGTCTTCAGGCTATTTTCTACCCAGTAGCATTTCAGCTGCAAACTGAACTGCAATATTTTAATAGAAATCAGACAGCTGTTGCTTTGAATTAGGTTGTTTTGACAAATTTTGAGTTTCTGTAACATCAGCTTGGTTTGATTTTCTAAAGCATAACATCTGGCATGGATCTTACTCTATCACAGAGAAAACTGGATTTTCTTTCAAAATGAAAGCAAAACTGCAACTATTTAAATATTTTAAAATCATTTCTGCCCTCTCTCTCCCTGCCCACCATCCCCTGGCTATGGACTTGAGGTGTCTGAACTGGTTACCTACACATTTCTATGGGGTAGACAGTTGGCAATTTCATTATTGTCTTTTAAAATGAAGAAAGTAAAGCAAAGAAAGATAAAGAAAACAGCATAAAAGGAACAAGGAAGGCAGAGTGAGAAAGGTAGGAGGGAGGGAGACACTGGTTACTTCTTGATTCAGGAGAGGCACATGGGGTGCAAGGACCTCTGCGAGGGAAGAAGTGATGTTTTCTTTACACGTTTTAGTTGAGTTTGAAACTTGTTGCTCTAATGACATACTAATTTTGATATTTAAAATGCTGGCTAATTTTTTTTTGGCTAATTTTAACTAATACATATTATGATGAAATTTAAGGCACATCTAACTGCAGGGGTCCTGGTTGTTGCCCTTGACCTTGGAAGGGATGAACAGACCTTGCCCAGATTCTCTGAAGGGTTCCCTCTCTTTCTGAGTCCTGATAGGTCTGATTCTAGATCCCATTAAGCCAAGGCTGCAGGCCCGGCATCTCTGACCACCCCCTGGAAGCCATGAGGAGGAGGCTTCTCCACCTTGGGCCCCACCTGGGAGGAGGAAACAGAAACTCCTGCCTCTCTTGTCTCCCAACTGGATCCCAGGCCCAACTGGATTCTGGGCCTGAAAGCTGGGCCAAGTGAACGGGGCTGAGGGAAACCATGTTGTATACAACCGTCGCACCTCATGCTCTATATGCTGTCATCTTATCTGCACCGTTACACCAACTCATCTCCTCAAAAGGTAAGTAAAAGGCACCTTGAGAACTGTCTTCAACTGAAGCAACACCCTTCCTGTTGCCCTCCTTGGCCCAGTCATAGAGGAGGATTCACTCCTGAAAAGTATGGACGGTTCCCTGGGCCCAGGCCCGCAGTACCTGTCAGAGCCTTCGTGCTGGTCTTCTTGCTCTCCCGGGCCCCTTTCACGGCCCACACTTGGATTGTGTACGCCGTACCAGGCTTCAGGCCCGTCAGGACGGTGCTGCTCTGCCCCTTTGCCACCGGAATCTCCTTGGTCTCTCCATCCGCAGATATGTAACGCACCATGTACTTGTCAATGGCAGCCCTCACGGGGTCCCAGGAGATGGTGGCTGTGGTCTCCGTCACTCGGTTTGTCACCAGATTTTTGGGGCTATCAATTTCTTTTTTGAAAGAGAGAGAAAAGGCTGAATTTAGCACCAAGGGAACTCTCCCCTCTGGTTCTCAGGAACAAGGGTACTATTCCATTTAAAACGGGGTAAGAGGCCCCCAGGTTCCATTTTCCAGGGAAACAAGCTACTGAATATTAAAACTGGAAGGAGTCATATCTTCTATCAATATGGAAATTTTTTGTCCCTGTAGTTCCCCCCACAATAATCATGAAAATCATACCAACAAAATAAGCCACTGAAACTACTGCTGAAACAACCACTTTTATAACTTCGATGGTATCTACCAGAAGTGTTGTCAGTGGATTTGAGAGCTAAGTAATGGCTTTGCTTCCACTTGACTTATGAAAGCACAGAAGAATGGAGCCCCAAGTTCTTGCTGTCTTGTGCTCAAACATCTTTGCTCTGAATTTGGAGCCCTTTCAAGGACTTCTCTTCTTTTCATGTGCCCCCTCTCTCCTGCACCATCAGACTCTTCTCTACCATCAAAGCCAGACAAGCCAGCTCTAGGGTCCCACCTTCCCTTCATCATTTCATTGCTCCACACTCAGAACCAGCAGAATGGTCTGCACAGCTCAGCCTCACCTCCCACTCACTCCTCAAGTCATTCGTGTTTCTGTAGGACACCACTATGTCTGCTAATCTAGGTCACCTGTGTTCTAGATGGACATCTTTCTAATGGACACCTGGCATGCACACTTGACTTAAAATTAAGTGGTGTTAGGGCCAGCCAAATAGCTCAGCAGATTGCAAGCAGGTGCAGGGGCTGGAGGTTCAATCCCCCTGACCTACTGTGCCAGCCCTGCCCTTAGGGAATTCTGAGATGGCAATTGAGACTGAGCATGGTGGAATGTGCCTGTAATCCCAGCTCTCGGGAGGCTGTAAACAGGCAGATCAGATCACTACAAATCCAATCTAGTAGTGAGACCCTGAACACCCTGTAACCTTTCCCTAAAAATACAAAAATAAAAAAAAAAAATAAGTGGTGTTTAGCAGAGTTAATGCATTCTCCCTCCATGGAACACTCTCAGTCCTTGATTTTCATGTCAATGCACTACCCTTAGTTTTCTCCTAATTCATTGACTCCCCTGCGTCCTCCTTGGTCCTTTGTTAGTAACCTTCAAATATCAGTGCACCCAAAGCTCTTTCTTTTCCTATTTCTCCACATATCTTCCCAAGAAATCTCTTCCATGTCCAGAGATTGAAATTGTAACTGGATATTCATTATGAGAGTATCAGTTGTGAGCTCCAGGCTTATATCTACTATTGCATATCCACCACAGTACCTGGCTTGTATTAGATGCTCAGTAAGTATTTGTGGAATAAACCACTCAGCTAACCAAGGAATCTAATAAGTATCTCAAACTTCAATACATGACAGTCTTCACAATTCCTATGGTCTTCCTTCTCAAACAATGGCACATAATCTTCCATGTTGCTCAAATCATACTTGATTTTCCCATTATCTCACAGGTCAATAAGTGCTACCATTTATTTCTCTATAATGTATTCCCAGACATCCTCTTTTCTCTATCCCTACCACCACTGTGCTTGCTCAAATCATCACCATCTCACACCAAGATTTTTATATAGCTCTTTTACTAAACTTCCCACTTCCATCCTTTTCTCACTTCTGACTTGGAAAATAGTTTTAAATGACTACTATATCATATCACTCTTCTAATACATATAGTGCTTCCTCTTTTAGGTGCCATATGCTTCTATATGGCCTGACTGTGTCCCTCCTGCCGTATCTCAGAATGCTTGCCCCCTCATCTTCTGCTATGCTCCCATGACACCAGTCTCTACAGTCCCTCAACTTTCTCACATCTGTTCCAGCTTAGGACCCTCACGTGCTCTTACCTGTTATGGTTTGTATCCAGATGCCCCCCTAAAGCCTCAGGCAGTGATGGGAAGAGGACTTTTTGGAGGTGGCTGAATCTAGAGTTTGTGACTGGTTGATTGTGTACCGCTAGGGTTGGGGGTATGAGTGCTACTCCTGCCCTAGGGTGGGCAGCCTGCATACAATAAAAAGAGAAGAGGCTCACTCTTCCCATTTTGCTTTTGTTTTTGCTGTCACCCACCATGATGAGCTGTTACTCTTCTGCCATGCCACCCTGCCTTGGAACCAGCTGATTATGGGACTGGAACCACAAGTGAGCTAGACAAACCTTTCCTCTCTTAACTTGTGGGTGTTGGGTATTTTGCTTCAATGACAAGAGGAAAGCAACCAAGACATTACCCATACCAGAAATGGCTAGTTTCTCTAGTATCTATCTTCCCCTTTTTCTACAGGCATACTGCCCAGTAAATCCCTCCGTGTTGTCATGAATATTCTATCATCTACATTGTCTAACATGGCAGGCATTAGTCACATGTGGCTAGTGACCATCTAAAATGTGACTAATCCAACAGAGGAAATACATTTTTATTTTAATTAATTAAAATTTAAAGAGTGGCACTAGCTATGGGTGGCTATTTAATTTCATACAACAGTGAAACAGAAGTTGAAGCTATGCTCATGGTCATCCAGGTGAAGGCCTCAATTCCGGCCTCTGTGTAATGAGGTCTGGTCTAGAACTATGTCTTAGATCAGGCAGTGCAGTGTGAGAAGAACGGATAGATGCAATATGCCCATCATGCCCTGCCCTTTCCCATGCCTCCGTCCACCAGCTGGAATATACATGAAGTGTTGCCATGCAAATGAAGGCAACTAACTCCTTAAGGTAATTCCCAGGGGAGAGGGAGACAAGAAGACTGCTTATCCCATCTAAGCCCTAGGCCACCCGAGATCAGGACCTCATATTTTGGGAATGATCCTGATCAGTGCCTGTCAACATAAATAAGTCCACTTTAAAATCTGAGGTGTCGGGGGCCCAGCCCTAGCTCAGTTCTTTAAGTGGCCGCTTCCACAATGCTGGCAGCCTCAGTTTGCTGTAGTTCGATCCCCACAACACTCCAGCCATGCAAAAGTGCCCTGAAGGCATTCAAGGAGCAAAACACACACACACACACACACACACACACACACACACACACAAATTCCTTATTAAAATTAGAGAAAAAGGAGGGCTACAAGGAAAGCCAATATTTTGGCCCTAGCCTTCTAAGGTCAATTAAGACTCAGGACATATGAGAACTTGTACTGTAACGTCATGTACCTCGGTAGTGTCCCAGATTTTTGATCAAGAAGGTTATGGGGCCAAAGAGGAAATCGATCGATGACGTGGAGTGTGCCTAAGGAGAGTCACATGAGGAGAAGACACTCTCTCAGGCTTTCACAGAGAGCACACTGGCCAAGCAATGGCCGTGACTCATCCACATGGCTGCACTGACAAAGGTTCTACAATCTGAGGTACAGGATCTCAGGATAAATCCTGAGGGCATTTCACTGACCTTCTCAAACCAAAAAGCTACAACTCTTGTTGCATAGGTTCTGCTCTACCTTGGTCTTAACCATCCAGTAGAAAAGTATGAAGATGAAATATAGGAAGTAAAGCCATGTTGTTATGTTGAGCTGTGGGGGACTCAGGTCAATAATTTCTGACTTTGCCAATTAAACAGAAGACCCAATGCTATTATGGGCTTCTGTACTCTTTTAGAATATTTCGCTGAGTTTACACACCTATAATATTCAACAACGGAACTTAAAAAAAAATTGGGGTATAACTATGAATGTCCATTTTGTATCTGTGTATTCAAAGTGGTTGGGATAGATATATAGTTGCATTCTCTTAATGAATAGAATGATTTTTTCTAATGGTGTTTGTAAGTAGGATCACAAGTCTGCATCTTGAAAAAAAAAAAAAATAAAATAAAATAAAATAAAATAAAATCTGAGGTGTCATTTTGCTGTTTCTGTTTGCCATTACACCATTATTATTCAAACCACCATCATTTGGGCATCCATCTCAATGTGTATCCTAGTACTATTTGTCCCATTTAAGAACTATTCTTGGGCCAGTGAGATAGCTCATCAGATTAAGAGCCTGCTTTGCCAAGCGCAGGGGCCAGGGTTCGATCTCCGGTCCCGCGTGTTATGCTAGCCCTGCCCCTGGGGCATGCTGAGTCAGCGAACCAGTCTGGGCATGGTGACGTATGTCTGTAATCCAAGCACTGGGGAGGCTGAAAACAGGAGGATCACTACTAGTCCAACTGTGTAGTGAGACCCTGTACCAAACACATAAATGAAAAAAAAAAAAAAAAGAACTATCCTTGCCTTTTATTCTCTATACCTATGCTGCCATGACCACCTTTATAGAATTTATCATAATTGATAGTTATAAATTTGTTCTCCTGTATCTCTCCCACTGGACTTCATGAGACTAGAGAACACATTTATTTTGCATAGCACTGCATCCCCAGGCCTATATTTAGCAGATGTTCATTACACGTTAGCTGCATATTGAACCCAAGGGTCCTGCATCATAGGTTAACACTTGAAACTTTATACCATATAGTATCTATTAAGTCAAGCCCACGTAAAATAACCTGCCACAAAACAGTTCTCTAATGCTGTAATTGTAAGAATTTTATATAGGTTTCACATTATTTAGTGTAATTTTCTACTGCTGAGAGGCACAAAGCCTGAGAAAGAGTTTAAAGACATTAATAGGGCTACTCAGCATAGTGTCTAGTACTATGCTTTGTTTTCTTCTTAGGTGAAAGAAAGGTTTTTTTTTTTTTTTTTTAATTTTTAAAGAAAGGTTTTAAACTGAAACTCAGCTATGGTTTGAGTCCAAAACCCATGATGGAATTTAATTGCCATGGAAACAGTAATCAGAAGTGGAAACCTTGAAATATGATTTGCCACATAGGCTCTGCTCTCTTGATGGATTAACATCACTACCACAGGAGTGGGCTATGGCCATGGTAGTGGGTTGAATGCCAACACACTCCTGCCCTCTCACTCTGTTTCATGTGCCTTCACTTGCCTTCCCACCATGTCCTGAGCAGTAGAAAGGCCTGTACCAGAAGCCGGCACCACACCCTTGAACTTCTCAGCCTGCAGAACTGTGAGAGATAGACTTGTGCTGTTTATCATTTACATAATCTGGGGTATTCAGTTTTAGCATAAAATGGATGAAGGCACACTCCTAACAGCAGCTGTGTCATCCTTCAGTAGCATTAGTTACTCTAGCCTGCTCTTCTCTTCCCTCCTCTCCTATTACATGATTAGGTAAGAAAAGAGAAACAAAACTTGGCACCCCCCATAGAGTCAGCATGGTAGATGTTACATTTCCAAGAAGCGTTACATTCCCAAATATCCCCTACCTGTAGGGGCCTTGGTGTTGGCCTTCTTGCTCTGCCGATTGCCCTTCTGGGCCCACACTTGGACAGTGTAGTCAACGCCCGGCCTCAGGCCAGTCAGGACAGTGCTGGTCTTCTCCTTCTTCACTGGAATCTCCCTGGTCTCTCCATCGGCAGAGGTGTAGCGCACCATATACCTGTCAATGTTGGCCTGCACCGGGTCCCAGGAGATAGTGGCTGTACTCTCTGTCACCTGGTTGGTTACCAGGTTTTTGGGGCTATCAATTTCTAAAAGGAAAAGTACTAATTAGTATGTGCTATGGATAGGCCCACGGGTGCAAAAACTGGTAGCCATGTTGCCCAGGATGAGACCTGCATGTTTTGTGGGTTTTCCATCTCTTGTGTTCTTTTCTGGGTTTTAGCTGCTTCATGGACATTCATCTTCTCTCCCCAGACATACTTGTCTCCTCAAGTAGAAAGCATAATTGAGCTAAATCTGAAGATCTGGGCTGTATTGCCTCTACCAAAAAAAAATTTTTTTAAATTTTATTTATTTATTTATGTGTGTGTGTGTGTGTGTGTGTGTGTGTGGCCAGCTCAGCCCACCAGGGGGCGGAGCTGGCTGGCATGTGGTGCTGGGGGATTGAACTGTGGTCCCTGTGCTTTGCTAAGCTTGTTCTAAGTAGGTGCTTTAGACCACTGAGCCATCTCACCAGCCTTCTACCAAAATTTTAACAAAACAAATCTCTCTAGTCATCTAGTAAGACATGGAGCCCTCACCCTCCAGGGTGTAATGTTCAAAGGCAAAGGCAACCTGGGCTCTGCTTACAAGGAGCTAACAATTTCCTGTCTACTCATGGCAGTGAAGGCCTCTCATTTTGTATTTAAAAAATCCTAAAACACAAATCCAGATGTAAGCTCTGGGAAGAATACAGATGCCTCCCATTGCCCCCTGTGCTTCCAGGCCATAGGACAGGATGGGATACACGAAATGTGCTCAGCACCTATCGTTAAATAAAGCTGCAAAAATTAAAATACTTTCTAAGTAGTTTTCAGCATACATGGATTCACTGGCCATGCTGATTTGCTGATTAAAACAATATACAAAATATGACCATATACCTCTTTCATAATAGTAAGATATGAATGCAGCACAAAAATTATCCTTATCCTCAAAACTCTAGACCACTTGTACTTTGCCACTCTACAGAGAATAAATGTTTCTCTTGCTTAAATAACTGTTATTAGATGTTTCTTTCAATTACTACTTACCCCCATACAATCTAACAAACATCCCCACATCATTATTCTTTATACCAACATCATGCGCATATTATCCATAGAGCTTATCATTATTTATAGATACAAATAAATTTTGAATTTTGTAAACATACTAAAGCAAACCAATATACATGTACTTTCTATAGATGTTAAATCTGTATTTTTATAGTGAAATCATTAATATACCATTGCCAATAATATTTTTCAGCTTCTATTCCCACTCACAAGCTCACTAAGAGACCATCAATATTGTCTTTAGCAAAAGATCTATACTATACACTTAGAAGAGGTGTGGATAAAGACAGCTATCCAAAAGGAGTTTAGAGAATGTATAAAGACCTAGCTATGTAGTACAGAAATCAGATAAAGGGCAGTGTGGAGGGGTATGTGTAACTGATAATGAGGAATACCATCCTGCTAGTACATATATCATAGATGCCTGTCTATGGCACAGGAGAAAAACAGAACTTGACTTCCCATGAGCTTTAGCATGACAGGTATCATATTTCCAAAGAACAATATCTGTTACCTGTGGGGGCCTCTGTACTGGCCTTCTTGCTCTCCCGGGCCCCCTTCTGGGCCCATACATCCACCTTGTACTCCACACCTGGCCTCAGACCCGTCAGAACAGTACTTCTCTGGTCCTTCCCCAACAGAAATTCCCTGGTCTCTCCATCAGCAGAGGTGTAGCGTACCACGTATCTATCAATGTCAGCCTCTACTGGGTCCCAGGAGACAGTGGCAGTGTTCTCTGTCACCTCATCAGTCACCAGGTTTTTGGGGCTGTCAATGTCTAAAAGAAAAAGAGGTGATCAATACAAACTACGAGTGGGTACCGAACAGTGAGATCATTAAGCTTGAGCTAAGATAGTATTTTACATCTCATGTGTTGATCCTCAGTTGCCTCATGGACACAGACTTTGTCTCCACAGTGGATTCCTGGATCTTCAAAGAAGAAGCACAGGACCACGTCCTGGGGGAGCATCACATCTAAGTCAGAGGGGCTGAATTCTAGGCTTAGGCCAAGAGGCAGATATTCAGAGCAAAAAGTTCCTGGTTTATAGCAAGCATACCAGAGATCTTATCCTAGATCTTCCATTAGCTAGATATGACTTTAAACAACTCAGATGCCTCTGACTAAACCTTTGTTTGGCCACCTGAAAATGTGGGCCTTAGACTTAGGTAGATGTTAAGGTCCCACAATGTTCCATAAATATTTCCTGGTTCCATGAATCACTGACTACCTGTGTAACATGTAGAAATCACACACCTCACTGTATTAGAGGATTCTCAATTGCACAGTGGGAATATTGATTCCTGTTCTACTGATTCAATGGTAGGCATATAAAATGGCATAATCCAAATGAAAACATTTTGGTACTTCCTCAAGATTAAAGATTGAAACTAAGCTACTGCACTGCAGATGGTAATTTGTAATAGTAGTTTTATGTTTGGAGTGCCTGTCATTGTGGTATTCTGAATATGGGCTGCTTGTCATGACATGCCAGTTACTGCTAAGATGTCTCTCAGGTAGGTGGATGTTCAAGAAGAAGGGGGTGGTGAATGAAAGCAAGAGACAGGAAAAGGAATATTGTGGGACTGTCCTGCTTCAAGGTTGTATATGGT